GAGGTCCAGAGTTCAAGACCAATCTGGCCAACATGTTGAAACCCTGTCTCTACTAAAAATATAAAAATAACACGGGTGTGGTGGTGGACGCCTGTAATCCCAGCTACTTGGGAGGCTGAGGCAGGAAAATTGCTCAAACCTGGGAGGTGGAGGTTGCAATGAGCTGAGATCATGCCATTGCACACCAGCTTGGGAGACAAGAGGGAGACTCCATCTCAAAAAAAAAAAAAAAAAAAAAAGCTGGATATGGTGATGTGCGCCTGTAACCCCAGATACTTGGGAGGCTGAGGCAGGAGAATTGCTTGAGCCCAGGAGGCGGAGGTTGCAGTGAGCTGAGATCATGCCATTGTGCTCCAGCTTTGGCAACAAGAGTGAAACTCCATCTCAAAAAAAAAAAAGAGAGATAGCAATTGGAGCCTTGGTCCTGGTTGAAATTTCCCAGAAGGAGTGCAGAGGGAGGGGAGAAGCAGCCCAGGACTGACCTCTGAGAAGGCATGCTGCCAGCAAAGAGAGTCAGGGAGGACGGCTGGGGAGCAGGGAGGGAAAGCAGGTGTGTGTAAAGCCACAGAGCCATGGGGAGAGAACATTTCCAGAAGCGTCCAATGTTGTCTGCAGGAGGCTTGAAAGTGTCCTTTGATTAAAATAGGAGGTCATGATTTTAATGGCAGTCGTTTCTGTAGAGTGCTGGAAGCCTACAACCAGTTGCAGAGAGAGGGGAAAATGAGAAAGTGTAGACTGCTGGGACAGATGGCTCTTCCCAGACATTTGGCTGTGAAGGAGGTGAGAGGTCGTGCTGTGTGTGAGGGGTAGGGAATGAGTTGCTGGAGCTGGACACGGTGGCTCACCCCTGTAATCCCAGCACTTTGGGAGGCTGAGGAGGGAGGATCGCTTGAGGCTAGGCAACATAGTGAGACCCTATGCCTACAAAAGTCAAAATACTAGCTGGATCTGGTGGCATGTACCTGTAACCAGGTACTTGGGAGGCCAAGGCAAAGATGGCTTGAGCCTACGAGGTTGAGGCTGCAGTGAGCCGTGACTACACCACTGCACTCCAGGCTGGGTGACAGAGTGAGACCCCATCTCTGGAAAAAAAAAAAAAGAGTTGTTGGTTGGCTGGTTGTTTTAAGGTGGGAGAGATATAAACTTATTTATATGGGGAAGTAGCTTTTTCAGTGATATTGTGAATGGAATAACCTGACAAGCATGTCCTCAACACTATGCATCTAGAAGCGCTGCATAAAACCAAACATCCTTTAAAATGTGCAGCTTAGTTGCAAGAAAGAAAGGAAATCCCCATGAGGCATGAAGAGGACATCAAACACTAGAGCTGTGCAAGCTGCTGGGTGGCTGTGATCTTGGCATTGAAGGGCCTAGGGCTTTACACCTACCTAGAGATTGGAGATGAGGCCTTGTCTGGGGAACTGAAAACATAGACACTAATAGAAAGCTTGTACCCTTAAGGGGTGACATCCTTGATGAAAGAGTAAACTAGGAAAAAAATCTGCCTCCAGTTCAGGAAGCATAAAAGGACCTTGTCTGTTTCACTCTGAGATTTGGTGACAATAAACAGTCTCTTTTGAGAATTCATAACCAAAGGCTTGACCTCACTTGGATTTGGGGTTCAAGTTTACATCATCTGCATGGTCTGGGAAGCCCAAATGTCAACAAATAATATAGTCCAGGCCAGGTGAGGTGGCTCGTGCCTATAATCCTAGCACTTTGGGAGGCTGAGGCGGGCGGGTCACCTGAGGTCAGGAGTTCAAGACCAGCTGGCCAACATGGTGAGACTACATATCTATTAAAAATACAAAAATTAGCTGGGCATGTTGGTGGGCACCTGTAATCCCAGCTACTCAAGAGACTGAGGCAGGAGAATTGATTGACCCTCGGAGATGGAGGTTGCAGAGAGCTGAGATCGTACCACTGCACTCCAGCCTAAGCAATAGAGCGAGACTCTGTCTCAAAAAAATTAAAAAATACATAATAATAATAATAAGAATAATGCAGTCCAGGGTTGGTAACACCCATGAAGAGCTCTTGGCAGAAGCAGATATGAAACCTCTTCGAACCTTGGCGGGCATGTACGTTCCCACTGATAACGCCCTGCTGAAGCTGAATTCACAGCTCAAAATTACAAAACATAAGAGGAAACAATCTTCATGAATGACAGTAAGCAGACACAGCATATAGCAGGATTAGCTCCAATTCCAAAACTCCAGAGAATAGCATTATTTGGTAAAGAACCATACAGCAAGTGTAGTTTAAATTTCTAAAGATGTAAAAGAAGGCATCAATATGAGAAAGAAATAAGATGGTGTTAAAAATAAGCGGGATTCTGGTCATTGAATACATCTAAAAAAAGTGATAGGAGCGGTTTAAAATAAAAAGAAGAAAGAGTAAAACGAATGCATCTGTTAATCTATGAACTTATTCATTCCCCATTCATTAGGCTCCTATTATGTTTTAGACCATGTTCTGGGTCTGGAAATATAAAGATGACTCTGCAGATAGCAAGTTAGACTCTGCCTCAGGAAGATCTCATGCACAAATCCATGTATCGATGCATCCATTATCTATCCATCCATTCATCCATCCATCCATTTATCCATCCATCCACCCATCCATCCATTCATCCATCTATTTATCCATCTATCCATCCATCCATTTATTCATCCATCCATCCATCCATCCATCTATCGAGTCATCCATCCATTAATTTATTTATCCATCCATCCATCCACCCATCCATCCAACCATCTTTCATTTTACTCATTGTGGGGGAAAGAGAGATCAGACTGTTACCGTGTCTATATAGAAAGAAGACATAAGAAACTCCATTTTGTTCTGTACTAGGAAAAATTATTCTGCCTTGAGATGCTGTTAATCTATAACCCTAGCCCCAACCCTGTGCTCACAGAAACATGTGCTGTGTTGACTCAAGGTTTAATGGATTTAGGGCTGTGCAGGATGTGCTTTGTTAAAAATGTGTTTGCAGGCAGTATGCTTGGTAAAAGTCATTGCCATTCTCCGGTATCGAGTACCCAAGGACACAATGCACTGCGGAAGGCCACAGGGACCTCTGCCCAAGAAAGCCTGGGTATTGTCCAAGGTTTCTCCCTACTGAGGCAGCCTGAGATATGGCCTTGTGGGAAGGGAAAGACCTGACTGTCCCCCAGCCCGACACCCATAAAGGGTCTGTGCTGAGGAGAATTAGTGAAAGAGGAAGCCTCTTTGCAGTTGAGATAAGAGGAAGGTATCTGTCTCCTGCTCGTTCCTGGGAATGGAATATCTCCGTGTAAGACCCGATTGTACATTCTATTTACTGAGATAGGAGAAAGCCGCCTTATGGCTGGAGGTGAGACATGCTGGCGGCAATACTGCTTTTTACTGCACTGAGATGCTTGTGTAAAGTCAAACGTAAATCTGGCCTATGTGCAAATTGAGGCACAGCACCTTTCCTTAAACTTATTTATGGCACAGAGGCCTTTGCTCACGTGTTTTCCTGGTGACCCTCTCCCCACCATTACCCTATAGTCCTGCCATATCCCCCTCACTGAGATAGTAGAGATAGTGATCAATAAATACTAAGGGAACTCAGAGACAAGTGCCGGCGCGGGTCCTCCGTATGCTGAGCACCGGTCCCCTGGGCCCAATGTTCTCTCTCTATACTTTGTCTCTGTGTCTTATTTCTTTTCTCAGTCTCTTATCCCACCTGATGAGAAATACCCACAGGTGTGGAGGGGCTGGCCCCCTTCACTCATCCTTAAATGTCACAGCTAGAAAAGTCCCAATAGAACATCTTGTTCAACTTTCAGCTCTCTTTTTGTACATGAAAAAAGCACATGAGGCCCCATAATACAAAACTCTCGTTTCTGAAGTCTCTAAGTGAATAAAGTGATGGAGCCAGATCATGAACCGGGGCCTTGTCCCTGTATTTCTTCCACACTGCAGTGCCTTTCCGGAGCCCATAGCATGGAAGCATCTAACCTCTGAACTCCTGCCTATATCTTCTGTTTCTCTGAGGTCTCTTCACTTCTCGTGGGCAGAGTCCCTACAACCCAGTGCTGTCAGCTGATGGTGATGATAAGGGATGTTGTTACCCAGCTCATGAGTGATAGAGATGGGACAGGGCCCTGGTCTCTACCTGGTGTCAGTTTTGTGTCCATATCTTAGCTCACCCCTACCTTTGTCCCCCACTCTGCTGCTAGAGACTGTGAGCTCCTTGAGGGCAGGGCCCAGGTCTGATTCCTCCCCTCCCAGTGCCCAGCTCAGAAACAGTACTTAGGATGCTGGCCAGTGAGTACACCTGGGGGAAGAGGTTGGACTAGGCTTTCAGTCCCTCTGCCTGGGGCTTCTGGCTGCTCCATCAACTTCCAACATCCCAAAAATCAGAGGGGAGGTCAAGGGATTGGATGAGAGGCTCCAAGCGCTCCTTAGCCCGCTGTGCAGGAAGAAGCGAGCGTTTCCTGGCTATGGGTGAACTTCCCGGCCAGCATTAAACAATACAGCATCCCGCCCCCTGTGCAGGGCTGTCTGTCTGCCTCAGCACTTCCAGAAGGTCTCAGTGTGGTGCTAGAGTACCTAACACTTTCTGACTTGCAGATCATCATTCCCTTTTCTTGTTAACAAAGAGCAGTGCTGGGCGCCGTGGCTCACGCCTGTAATGCCCACACTTTGGGAGGCTGAGGCGGGCAGATCACCTGAGGTCAGGAGTTCGAGACCGGCCTGGTCAGCATGGTGAAACCCTGTCTCTACTAAAAATACAAACATTAGCCGGGCGTGGTGGCAGGCGCCTGTAATCCCAGCTACTCGGGATGCTGAGGCAGGAGAATCGATTGAACCTGGGAGGCAGAGGTTGCAGTGAGCAGAGATCATGCCATTGTACCCCGGCCTGGGCAACAGAGCGAGACTCCATCACAAAACAAAACAAACAAACCAAAAAACACAGCTGAGTTTTAGGTCAATGCTTCCAGCAGGGAACAGAATTTAGATCTTAACAATTTTGTTTACATTATATTTATTTTCATCTTTTACCTTCTATTGATGGCAAAAGAGACTGATTTTCCATTTACAGAAGTGATACCAAAAAAGAGTCCTGTTACAATAATTTTAATAAGTGAATACTGAGCCAATTTAAAGAAAAACATAAAGCAAATAATAGTACAGGTGGTAAACTAATATGGCAAAATTACTAATATTCAAGGCTGAAGTTTGGCCGGGCATGGTGGCTCATGTAATCACAATACTCTGGGACTTGGGGACGAGTGGCTCTCTTGAGCCCAGGAATTCAAGACCAGCCTGGGCAACACAGCAAGACCCCATCTCTAAAAAAAAAAAAAAAAAAAAAAAGCCAGGTGTGGTGGTACATGCCTGTAGTTACACCTATTGGGGAGACTGAGGTGGGAGGATCACTGAAGCCCAGGAGTTCAAGGTTGCAGTGAGCTGAGATTGTGCCACTGTATTCCAGCCTGGGCAACAGAGTGAGACCCTGTTTCAAAAAAAAAAAAAAAAAAGTGGCCGGGTGCAGTGCTCATGCCTGTAATCCTAGCGTTTTGGGAGGCTAAGGCTGCTGGATCACTTGAGCCTAGGAGTTGGAAACCTGCCTGGGAAGTATGGTGAGACCCTGTCTCTACAAACAAATCCAAACATTAGCTGGGCGTGGTGGTATGTACCTATAGTCCCAGCTATTCTAGAGGTTGAGGTGGGAGGATTGCTTGAGCCTAGGAGATCCAGGCTGCAGTGAGTTGAGATTGCATCACTGCACTCCAGCCTGGGTGACAGAGTTGAGATTCTGTCTCAAAAAAAAAAAAAAAAAAAAAAAAGGTGAAGTTTGGAAAATTAGACCTCCGGGGAAATGGAAACTACATCTGCTGCTCACCCACCTGCCTCTCCTAAAGGGAAGATCGGGTACTTGGGGTCCCATTTCTATGGGGTGGAGCATTATAAGTAAGCCTAGCTTGTGGCAAATCTGTCTCTCTGGACACTCCAGCAAGCTGGAAGGGACGATGATCAGAGGGCACAGTTTGGGAGCTGCCCTGCTCTGGGACTCCTCTCCACATTGGATGAAACTCAGTTCTCCCTGGCCATGGCGTTCCTCACCATGGAGTGGTGAGGGTCCTAAGCTGAGGCGTGTGCAGATGGAGGAGGAGGGGCAGGGAGCCTGTGGGTTTTCTCTGACTCCAGGTCCCCACTCCAGCAAGACAGCGCCGCTCCAGCTTGGCCCAGCACAGTTCCTCCTTGCACTTTGGGGGTCAAAGCCGCAGTTCATTTGAAACAAAATGCTCCTCTGCCTGGTCTGGTCCTCTCTTTGTGTATTTTCCTAGAGGACCTCACAGTGGGTGAGTGGCCAAGAAGAACAGGATTTGTGCCTCTGGGAAACTGGATTCCTGTCATCTCCTGCCAGCTGTCATCGCCACACCGAGGCTGTTCAGCACCGCGGGACCCTTTCTCTTTGGTATTGGCGGCTTCGGTAAATACTGAGGGAAGGTGGAGGTGGTGGTCGATGCCTTTTCCTGCCTATCTGGTACCTTGGGTTCTTTATCTTGATGCGATCTTGAAGGCTTCTGGCCTGGTGTTGGCTCCACCCCCAGGTCTCTGAACCACAGCTGAGGCAGCTGAGCAGAGGCACTGCTCGGCTTCCCCTAGTCCACACAGCCTGGCCACCACCCCGACCTGGGGAGGGGGACTCTGGTGGAAGGGGCCTGGGAGGGGCATCTTCCCTGGGGCAGTCTCAATCCTAATGCTGGACGCTGGGGTCCCTGGTCCCACTGAGGCAGGGCCTTCCTCAGGGGTCTCTGGGGAACCCTGGGAATTCAGAACCCCACACTGGTCCGGCCTTCACGCTTCCAGAAAGCTGAGATCTGCTCCAAGGTGACCCGTGGCTGGAGGCCCCACTCGGGATCCGGGCTCCATGGCCGCTGCCTCCTGACCTGGGGACTCCCAAACTGGGCTGTGGCCTCTGGCCTCTGCTCGGGTTCAGCCCAGCTCACCAGGCCCATGCCGGGGGGTCTCCCCTCCCAGGGCTGGGGACCCCAGAAGGTGCTCCGGGCTGGGACCTCCGGTGGAGTCTGGGGGCCCAAGGAGCTGGGAGCAGAATTTGGGGCTGAGGGGGCATGTGGGGCAGTTGCTCGGGCCTCCAAGACGCCCACCAGGGTGGGAGGCTCAGGGGCCCGGTCTGTCAGCAGGGGGACCGCAGAGCCATACCAGTCCTCAGAGCGCTCTCGGGGGGTGCCCATGGGCTCAATCCACAGCTCTCCTCCTGGGCGCCACACCAGGGTGGGTGCATGGTGGCTGGGGTCTGGGTGGAGAGCGCGGCGGAACAGGCGTTCAGACAACACAGCGGTGGTGAGGATGAAGAGCGCAGCCAGGGTGGCCAGGGCCAGCATGATGGGGATGCAGGGCCCACAGGGCAGTGAGGGCCATGGGGCTGCCTCCCACGTCGGGGGCCCCTCCACCCGCCCAGAGGGCGGCTCTGGAGTCGACGGCATCTGGGAGACATGGGGTGAGAAGAGGAAGTAAATGAGGCAGGGGGGGCACAACCAAGATGAGAGAGAGGCAGCAGGTGTCCAGGAAAGCCTGGGAGAGGGGCTGGGCTCGGGGGCTCATGCCTGGAATCCCAGCACTTTGAGAGGACGAGGCAGGATGATCGCTTGAGCCCAGGAGTTCAAGACCAGCCTGGACACACAGTGAAACCTCATCGCTATAAATAATTTAAAAACTAGCTGGGCATGGTGGCTCACACCTGTAGTCCCACCTACACAGGAAGCTGAGGTGGGAGGATTACTTGAGCCCAGGAGTTCGAGACTGCAGTGAGCCCAGATTGCACCACTGTCCTCCAGCCTAGGTGACAGAGCAAGACCCTTTCTCAAAAAAGAAAAAGAACATTCTGGAGAGACAGAGGAGCAAGGGGGACCAGAAAGGGTAAGCGTGAGCCAGGTGGGGCGGGAGGACAGGCAGCCTACCTATGCGCACAGCCAGGCCCTCTTGCCCAGCTCTCCAGGCCTTTCCAGAAGCCCCATTTCCCTCCCAGACCCCAGGGTGCCTCAAACCAGAAAGGTCTTGAGGGCCTCTTTCCTTCCCACTCGGCCCCCTCAAGTCTTGCTCAGGCCTAGAGAGGAAGTGGCGGGTGAAGAAATGAGAACCTCCCCTCCCACCGGCTCCCCTGTGTGTGTCTCCCCTACCGCCTCCCGCCGGCCACCTCTGCTGGCCCCTTAGGGCTCCTTCGCCCCTCACCAGTCTCCTTGGACTTGATCTTGTTCTCATAGGCTCCGTGGAATGATGGAATCTGCTGCCGGGCCAGGCCAGGCCAGGCCTCCGGAGGCGCCTCTGCACCCCTCCCAGGCTCCCCAGCTTTGCCCAGGCTCTGGCCTGTCTCTATCTCTCTTGTTTGTCTCCGCATACCTCTCTCTGTCCCCCACATCCTCCATCTGCAGGGGCCTCCTGCACCCCTCAACTCACCTTGGGTCAGTCCCTGGGCGCCTCTCCCTCCTAGAGCCGCTCTTCCTGGTGCCGCACTAAGAGATGCAGGCTCGGAAGGTGCAGGGCAGTCCGCCTTTCAGACATAGAGGCCGGGCCTCAGATGAAGGCGGAAGGGAGGGCACCGCCTGTTGCTGGGCAACTGTGCCCCAACTCGCCTGCCCCCGGGGAGTGTTTGTTTCCAAAGCAACCCAAGGGGATGTGGTCACTGCGGTGAGGAGGCTTTTCCTGGGGTAAGGTGGGGCTGGAATGGGCAATGGCTCTGTTGAACTTAGTGTCACCCCATAGTCAGGCCCTGGGCCCCAGAACATTCACCCAGAAGCTGAGAAAGAGGACGCAGGGGCTAGGCACAGTGGCTCACCCCTGTAATTCCAGCATTTTGAGAGGTCAAGGTGGGCAGGTCACCTGAGGTCAGGAGTTTGAGACCAGCCTTCCAACATGGCGAAACCCCATCTCTACTGAAAAATACAAAAATTAGCCAGATGGGGTGATGGGCACCTGTAATCCCAGCTGTTCGGGAGGCTGAGGCAGGGAGAATCACTTGAACCTGGGACTCAGAGGTTGCAGTGACCTGAGATCGTGCCACCACACTCCAGCCTGGTTGACAGAACGAGACTCCATCTTAAAAAGAAAGAAAAAGAAATAGGACACAGGTAATCTAGCCCATACATTCATAGAGAACCATGGTGCCTCCCCCTGCTCCTCCTGGGAGGATGCCCCACCCCATCCTGCCTTGTCCTATCCACGGTGCCTCCCCAGATCTGCTCCTGCCATCCAGCCCCCACAGGCACCCCCTGCTTGACCAACTTGCTTCACACTTTTTTTTTTAATTTTTTTTTTTTTGATAGAGATGGGCTCCTGCTATGTTGCCCAAGCTGGTCTCAAGCTCCTGGCCTCAAGATATCCTCCTGCCTCAGTCTCCCAAAGTGCTGCAATTATAGAGAGCTACCACACTGGCTCCTGCCTCATACTTTTAATTAACATAAGTCTCTCTCTCTTCAGACCATTTAGCCCCCATTCTGGTTGGAAAATATCAGTGAGGTGAGGCTTGGGTAACAAAAATGTCAGGCCTCTGGGAGGAGTCCAGGGTATAAAAACAGGCGTGGGCTTGTTTCCAAAACACTGACTATCCTCATGTCTGTCCCTCTTTCCTGGGGCTGAGGGTGGGAGGAGTCTAGAGCAGAGTGTGACGAGATGTCATCAGGCTTTGGAGTCCAGGAGACTTTCTGAGATTCTCTAGTTTGACTCACTTATCCACAGATGACAAAGTTAAGGCCTAAAGAAAGCAGATGACATGACCAAAGTAACATGACCAATGTATGTGTGGGTCAGCGTGTGGCGGCCGGGGTGGTGGAAGAATAGTTAGAAATCCCTGGGCTGGGCGAGGTGGCTCATACCTGTAATCCCAGCACTTTGGTGGGCAGATCACCTGAGGTCAAGAGTTTGAGACCAGCCTGGCCAACATGGCAAAACCCTGTTTCTACTAAAAATACAAAAATTAGTCAGGCATGGTGGCACGTGCCTGTAATCCCAGCTACTCAGGAGGCTGAGGCAAGAGAATCGCCTGAACCTGGTGCAGTGAGCCGAGATCGCGCCATTCCACTCCAGCCTGGGCAACAGAGCGAGACTCCATCTCAAAATAAATAAAATAAATGAATGAAAAGACATTATCAGTCAGACTGCCCCGTCCTGGTGATTTTGAGCCCTGGTGGGAGGAGGTAGAGATGGAGAGTTCGGGGGAAACCACCTTTGCAAAATTAGGACTGAGACTGTGAAAGAGATCTAACTTAACCGACACCATCTTGCTTCTAACCTCCAAGCTGTCTTTGTTTATTCCTGGGCGTAGGCTGAACTAACTTTGGGAGAAACTTAGTTTGTAGTTTATAGTTTAAACAAAGAGAGTAACAGCCCTTTCCCAAAGCATACCTCCTTCTTGCCTGGGGACTAGACTAACATTAGCCATTGGATTAGAAATTATGGTTTAGGAGTCATGCAGCTGCAGGCTAAAAGATTCTGACCCTCCCTACTGCTCCTAAGATCAGTGCTTGAGATATTTTGCAGACCCTGCACTTGATGGATCAGCTGGCACCGCCCAGATCAATAAACTGGCTCATCTGGTCTTGTGGCCCCCACCCAGAACTGACTCTGCAAGAAGACAGCTCCGACTCTCCATGATTTCATCTCTGACCAGTCAGCATTCCCAGCTCACTGGCTCCCCACCCACGCACCAAGTTGGCAGTGGCTCACGCCTATAATCCCAGCACTTTGGGAGGCCGAGGCGGGCGGATCACAAGGTCAGGAGATTGAGACCATCCTGGCTAACACAGTGAAACCCCGTCTCTACTAAAAATACAAAAAATTAACCAGGCATGTTGGTGGGCGCCTGTAGTCCCAGCTACTCAGGAGACTGAGGCAGGAGAATGGCGTGAACCCAGGAGGCGGAGCTTGCAGTGAACCGAGATCGCGCCACTGCACTCCAGCCTGGGCGACAGAGCGAGACTCCGTCTCAAAAAAAAAAAAATGTTTAAGAAGCCAACCAAAAACATTTATGTTCAGCAATTTGTTTCAGTTATTTCTTCTTACTTGGAAATAATCCACACATCTAATGAATATCTAATAGTTAATTTAATAGAACATAATAGAATAAAGTTACATGAAAAATTTATTTATAAGAAATTATCCATTACATAGTTTATTTTTAACAGTTTCCCTAGATTATTTATGAAAACTGAGATATTAGGCAAGGATAGTCATTATTTCAAGTTACTTCCCTGTTAATCATTTTTATAGCCTGTGACAATCAGGTGTTCACCTAAGTAAGAAGCTTAAACATATGAGTAATTTCTTGATAACTCAGGAGACACCGAATTTTTTTTTTTTTTTTTTTTTTTTTTGAGGAGGAATCTCACTCTGTCTCCCAGGCTGGAGTGCAGTGGTGTAGTCTCAGCTCACTGCAACCTCTGCCTCCCAGGTTCAAGCAATTCTCCTGCCTCAGCCTCCTGAGTAGCTGGGATTACAGGTGCACACCACCTGTATTTTTAGTAGAGATGGGGTTTCACTATGTTGGTCTCAAACTCCTGACTGTTTTGTTTCGTTTTTGGTTCTCTATTATTAATATTACTAGACGCAAAGACTAAATATCAATAAAGGCCAAAACGAGCGAAGAAAGTGGCAGCCCTTTTATTTGCAAATATGCACGCACTCTCGGACGAGGTTCACTGGTCCGCGAGAAAGGGCCAGGGAAGTCGCGCCGGCGCTCTCGGGTGATGTTCTCCGGTCCACGAATGCAGGGGGCCGAAGAAGTCACGCCGGCTCCTGCCGGCGGCGGACTTTTATGCCTGGGAGCTGGAAGGGGAGGAGTTTGGGGCGTGTGTGTAGGAGTGGCTTCTTGAATTTCGGTGTCCCCGGCTTGACGTCATTCTGCGCATGCTCAGTTGATTTGGTTCTTTTCCCGGGCGCGGGAAAATCTGTGATGAAGAACCCGGAAACAGTAGGGACTGCTCCATCTTGTTCACCTTCCTCCATCTTGTCCCTTTTCCCTCACCCAAACACTGACCTTGTGATCCACCTGCCTCAGCCTCCCAAAGTGCTGGGATTACAGGCGTGAGTCACCATGCCTTGCCTCACTTTTTCTTTTAATTAATTTTTTAAAAAGTTTTTTTAGACAGAGTCTCGCTCTGTTGCCCAGGCTGAAGTGCAGTGGCTCGATCTCAGCTCACTGCAATCTCCGCCTCCTGGGTTCAGGTGATTCTCCTGCCTCAGCCTCACAAGTAGCTGGGATTACAGGTGCGCACCACCATGCCTGTCTATTTATTTATTTATTTATTTATTTATTTATTTTTGAGACGGAGTCTTGCTCTATTGCCCAGTCTGGAGTACAATGGCATGATCTCGGCTCACTACAACCTCTGCCTTCCAAGTTCAAATGATTCTTCTGCCTCTGCCTCCCAAGTAGCTGGGATTACAGGCACCTGCTACCATGCCCAGCTAATGTTTGTATTTTTGGTAGAGATGGGGTTTTGCCATGTTGGTCAGACTGGTCTTGAACTCCTGACCTCAGGTGATCTACCCGCCTCGGCCTCTGAAAGTGCTGGGACTACAGGTATGAGCCACCATGCCCAGCCTTTTTAATTTAAATAGAGATGGGGTCTTGCTATGTTCCCCAGGCTGGTCTCAAACTCCTGGCCTGGAGCAGACCTCCCACCTCAGTGTCCTGAAGTTCTGGGATTATAGGCATAAGCCACCATACCTAGCCTAATCCAAACACTTTGGGAGGCAAGAGGATTGCTTGAGGATAGTAGTTCAAGACCAACCTGGGCAATACAATGAGACTCCATCTCCACCAAAAAAAAAAAAAAAAATTAGCTGGGCATGGTTCCATGTGCCTGTAGTCCTAGCTACTCAAGAGGCTGTGGCAGAGGATAACTTGAGCCCAGGAGTTCGAGGTTACAGTGAGTTATATCATGCTACCTGGACAGCAGAGCAAGACCCTATCTCTAACAACAACAAAAAATTATACAAACACAGGTCATTTTGTTTGAAATTTGATTTATAGTCTTATAACCCATGTGTCAGACCCTGAAACCTTAAAACATCTAGTGGAGATAAATATAAAACTGTCTGACCAGTGAACCCAAGCAAAAATGTATGCTGACAATTCTGAAGACATTTCTATTTTTATTTTACCAATACTTTCTTTATTTTATTTATTTATTTATTTATTTATTTATTTATTTATTTATTTGAGAGAGAGAGCATTTTCCTCGGCCACACTGGCTGGAGTGCAGTGGCATGATCTCAGCTCACTGCAACCTCTGCATCCCAGGTTCAAACAATTCTCCTGCCTCAGCCTCCCAAGTAACTGGGATTACAGGCACTTGCCTCCACACCCGGCCACTTTTTTTGTATTTTTAGTAGATACAGGGTTTCCTCATGTTGGCCAGGCTAATTTCAAACTCCTGACCTCAGGTGATCCACCCACTTCACCCTTCCAAAGTGCTGGGATTACAGGTGTGAGCCACTGAGCCCCACCTATTTTACCAATAGTTTTAAAACCAGCTTATTTATTAAAGATTAAAGATTTACTTAAGTCACAGGAAGTAAAAGACATCTGGATTAATTACTCTCTCTATATATATACATAAACACACAGATACACACACACACATAGTAACTTGTATATATTTTCTTTTTTAACAGACAAAGGGAATCTTACTCTGTCACCCAGGCTGGAGTGCAGTAGCACAATCATAGCTCACTGTACCCTCAGACCCCTGGGCTCAGGTGATCATCTCACCCCAGCCTCCTGAGTAGCTGGGACTATAGGCACAGGCCACTATGCCCAGCTAATTTTAAAATTTCAGG